AAATGTGAGGGGCGCCAGGAAAGTATTAACATATACTTTCCAAGGTATCTTGTAAAGCTGTTTGCTTAAATAAAAAAGGAATCAGGTATTAATTGAAATATTTAGTTTTCACCAAAAATTTAATCCCTAACCAAATATATACAGTCTATTTTTTTTTCTATAACTACTCACCACTAATCATGCACAGTTAATCTAGTCACTTCTATACAAAAAAGATCCCTAATTATACACAATTGATCCCCGATAATCTGAATTTATAAATAATAGAATATAAGAAAAATTTTAATGATTCAACCTAAAAAGGTAATTTACTTGCCTACTAGCGATGTAACCCTGTACTTCGGCTTTCAATTAAATGTTATAATAAAGTAATGAGGACACTGTCATGATGGGATATATGTCCAAAGGCTTAAATATATAATAATAATAAAATATCAATAAACAACTCTCTGATTAAATGTGTACACATAAAACCGTACAACTGAGTTAAAAGGGGGAATTTAAAAACTCAACCTGTAATTGACAATTAGTCCTTAAACGTTATTTAAAATTATTTAAAAAAAAAAGACGGGTCTTCATTATTAGTGAAAGTAGTAGTTTTAAAGTTAAACAAAAAATAGTATATAAAAATTATTAAAATTAAAAAACAAAAACTTGATAAAATTAGCTGTATTCCACACTCTAAGGCGGTCTTTCCAACTGGTTCCCTGAAGTTATCCGGGCAGGCTTATATGAAGTCTGGATCTCTGATGGAACAGCTCAGGGTGACGGCAGAAGTGTAAACCCAGTAGGGAACAACTTTTTTGTTTTTTTTTTTAATATAATTCCCAACAAAAATAAAATGATGAATTCTTGATTCTGGACTGAACTTCGAAAGTGGGCTAAAATAACATTTGGGTTAGCGTTCCTCCTTACTCTTAATAAATAGTAGTAAAAAAACACAAGAAAGATACGATACGATTTGAAAGATACGATAAAAAAAGTTACTGGGAACAAAAAGCTTCAATGATTTTGTAAATGGTGTGTCCTTCGCATGGTTTGACAATATTTTAAGTAAAATGGATTAATTAAATAGATAATTTTATGAACGAAAATGCATGCTATGGATCTATTTTATAATATAAAAGAACGGTATAAGATAGAATATTTTTATAGGTAGTCTTAATACATACCTATATAATTATATGTTTAAGGACGGAAAGTAAAATAGAAATTGGACATATGATTTTATCTTATAAATTTCGATTTAGACGTAGAATATTTCTTAACGAAATGAGGTGAAAAATTACAGATAGATATACATATCAACTATCAACGGTAACATGACAATATAAAAATTTAAAATGGCTGATGGTTTTTATACTTTTTATTGATAATTGAATCCGCTTACCGGCTAAGAGTGTCTATAACTCAAATGGTCTACACTAAAAACAAACTATGTTCTTCCCAAAAAAATACTTTTCTTAAAAAAAATTAAGCACATCTCTTTGCCGCCTACTTATTTTAGTTCAGCGAACTTCCTCTGTCCAGAGTTGAGACCAGAATGCGCGCTAATTCTTATTTGTTAGTCGACTAAGAAAATCTGCCTAAAACGGCCGCTGGGGTCGCTGTTTAATACCAACTTAGAAATTCGAAATTAATAAAATCATTAAGAGGATTTAAATTTAAAAAGTTTATGTAAAAATGATAATGAAGTGACGGACTCGTTACAAAAGAAACTGATGTTAAAAAATATACATAGTATTTTTTATCCCGATGCTAACCTCTCACTGGATGAAGCATTATTACTTTATTACTTTGGGGGTGGGAGACTTCTATTTCGTCAGTATATTCCAAATAAAAGTGCCAAATACGGAATTAAATTATAAGAACTCTGCACTCCAGATGGATTTGTGCTAGAAATTCTAATTTATTCGGGCAAAGGGACAGTTTCTCAGAGACTAGTCACGCTCAATCGGTAGTAACGAAACTAGCAGGACGTTATCTAGACAAAGGACATACGTTGTTTCTTGATAACTATTACGGCAGTGTATGGCTGAATATTTATATGAACAAAAAACACACATTTTTAGAACGTTACGGAAAGATCGTAAGGGGAATCCCAAATCAGTTATAACTACTAAATTAAGAAAAGGACAAAGTCTGTTTCGAAAAAAGAAAAATGTACTTTTGATAAAGTGGAAAGATAAGCGTAACGTGTTACCAATATCGACAAAATATAACGCTGCTTTAGAAAGTAAAAGGTAAGATCACTAGTAAGAGAGGTGTTGAACTAGAGAAACCAAATGTCATACTAGACTATAACAAAAATATGTCGGGCATAGATCGAAGTGACCAAATGGTGTCGTACTACACAACGCCCCGGTAAACAGTCCGTTGGTATCTGAAAGTGTTTTCCACACATTATGAAATCATATAATATACCAGTGTCTCATATATAAGTCGGGTTCAAAAATCCTTTCAAATGTTTTTTTTCTGCATCTGATAGTTACTACATTGATTCACAGCACAATTAAAATAATTTTATTTCAAACTAATAAAAAAAATTGTGGTATCTCAATGTCCAAAATTTATGGAATAAATTATGGAATATTATTATTTCGAAAACCGTTGAGTTTTGAGGGAAATCCCAAAACAGGTCGATTTTTGTTATAAAATACCCATCTTATAACGTACATGGAGTAGGGATGACGCCACCGGTGTGGGTGTAGTGACGTAATCGTTAATTTTTTTTTTAATAAAAATCGGTATATTGCGACACCTCATTTGAAGGAGAATTTAATTCTCTATTTAAAAACATTACATTTTTAGCTAAAATATTTTTTAAAGGTACAAAAACAATTTTTTTTAATTTAAATTCAACTAAATTACAACTAATGATTTAATTAATAATGTACATTAAAGTAACCAAATTATGCAAAACAATTATTTTAAATTAAATGTTCGAAATGCCATCCATCGGTTTCTTGACAATATGCGAATCTACGGACACATTCATCAAGTACATTGCGGATGACTTCTGGAGTAATTACTCATTTCATGCCTAATTATATCTTTAAGTCCTGTAAGTTTTGGGGTCTATTGGCATAAACTTTTGATTTTATTTAACCCCACAGGAAAAAGTCTAGAGGTGTTAGATCTGGCGACCTTGCTGGCCACTCTATAAAACCTCGTCTTCCGATCTACCTTTGAATTATTGGCATTTGGATACATGTTAGCAAGGACAGGTATGAGTTGATTTCTCAAAAAAAGTTAAATAACGTTCTCCTGTTAGATTTTCTTCAAACAAAAAAAAGGCCAATGATTCTGTCATTAATGATCCCTGCCCATACATTTACTTTCTGAGGATATTGCGTGTGTGACTCATCCAAAGTGTGTTTTCTTAACTCCAATATCTGCAATTTTGACGATTCATGGTACCATCTATAAAAAATGTGACTTCACCGGAAAAATTTTTGTATAACCACGGTTGTAACTGATAACCTGAATCTCCAAATAAATAGGCATTATCAAGTTCATTCACCACAAATTGTCTTTCCAAAAATCGCTTCAGTGCACGTTACTTCCAAATCCCCGAATTACGCATGAAACCTAAGAAGCAACCTTTACAATTTAAAAATATAGAATTCGCATCACATATTGCACATTTATATTGTAAAATCCTTTTCTGTTGAAGTATGTCAGACCAGGTCGGATCAGATCATCAGCAGGTGGTATAATTGCAATATATGTGCACTTTTATTTTGAACAATATCGATTCCACTTCGAGGAAATTTTATTTGAGTATTCTACTATCCCTGCAGTGATTTCTGTTACCTTATTGAACATACTTTGTTCTATTGGAAGTAACAGTTTGTTACCAATACATTTATGAAACTTCCATTGCCTAAAAAATTGGGCATGGAGAGAACCTTTAATTCTATTGCAATTTTTGTAGCCCTTTACTTTTCATCTATTACAGGTCTCAAAGTTTCTGCAACGTGCCTATTAGCAATATTTTTTGACACACTGAAATATTTAATGAAAAGCTGGTGGTCTATTTCAAATTTGTTACTGGTGTCTTGTAACTGACGTCGCTCTAGATAATTTCTTTCTACCACACTATTCAGTTCAGTTTATTAAGTAATAACAAATTTACAAAATCTACTTTTTCAAACAAAACAAATAAAACACAAAGATAAATTTTAATTAATTAACCGACAGATCTTCACGTTATGGCAGAACTTTACATAACATTTTATCTAATTTTCTGCGTGGCTTGGTCATTTTAAACTTAGCAAAACAGAACATGATGCAGCTTTATCGTTTTTACACATTATGTTTTGAGAACTGTAATTTGATCTACATTTTCGGACTTTAACACTACCGTAAACGTATGACAATGTATCAATTATGTATTTCGAAACATGTCAACACGTCTTTTTACCTCCACTTTTATGTATTAATATTAGACAGTTACAGAAGATGTGACAATTTCAGAACAAAATTAAAATAGCAACAGAATACAGTTGAGAACTTGGAAGTGGCAACCAAATAGAAGGAGAAAAAGATGACATCCTAGATTACAGTGGAACAAACAAACAAAAACTCTACTTCTCTCATATCAGTTGCTTTGTCATTTAATATAATATTCTTAATATACCATCGATCAGCATTATCGTTGTTCAGAATACCGCAGAACTGAAACCATCGTGGAAGATCTCTTGGAAGAAAATTTCGAACAGAAGTGAAGTGATAAGAGTAGAAGTTATTTCTATAATGACCACTATAACTCTAAAGATGAATAAAGCAAACTAAAGAAATTATAAGCCAAATAAGCCGGAAAAATGAAGAATTATCACTTCCTTAACGTTCATTAAAACCAACACAAAAGTCGATGTAAAAAAATATCTAATCAGTTCAAATGCTGAAAAATAAATAAGGGTTATAAAGTAGAAAAGAGATGTGCAGAAATTAGAATATGAAAATATAATAATTCTTAATTGTTGTTTTTTGTTTACCTTTTTCTACTTGTTGCAAAGGCCCATTCCATTCCAAACGTTTTTCCTGCGTTTTTTCAAAGTGTATTAATCTGTTTTCAGACAGTGAAACCATTTCCATAGCATTTTTTGAGATCTAAAAAATATTGATTTATGTAGAAATTCGAACAAGAAATATAAATATTTCTTTTCATGGAAACTACTTGTTATAAACCTGTTGTACAACAGCCAGTTGGTTTATTGTACATATTTAATTTCTTCATGATACTTATTCCAGGACTATGGAACCCTGTACTAGCTTATACAGGTCTGGTGGATGGGTAACATGTATTTTTGGAGTCACTTGGTAGTCTCCAAAAAGTGGTTGTGGTTGCCACCTGCGATCTAATACCTGGCAGTCAAGCAAAATATCGTTGTTTCAGGTTATCTGCTGTTTAGTCTGCAGCTGAACTCTTCATAAAACAGTCCCATTGTGTGAATGTTTCTTTTAACTGGCGCATGTCCAGAAGGAATCCTGTCAAGACTCTGAGCCGATTCCTGCTTGTTTCCCGCAGTTCTTCAGCCATATTAGCATATATCCCTCCTATAAACATTTTATCTTGTGTTTGAACAGGTATATTTTACCAGTGTATATTGCATTCGGATCAAGACTTTCTTCCGGTAACAGATAAACTGAAGTATTTGATAGTACAAGAATGTAATAAAAAAATAATACAGGTAACATATTGTTTCATATATGTTACAGATATTTGATATATAGACTACAATAAGTTAACTTTTGCTTTACTTACGTTCATAATTTCACTTTTTTGGATTTCATGATGCTTCTCAATATCATCAGATTTTTTTTGTATTTTGCGGCTCATATTCTGATATGGAACCCGAACAACAATAGTTTTATCTAGATGAACATCATCTTCATTAACATCATGATCATCAATAATACCATCATTAACTAGAGGAGCAGGTTTGTCTAAAAAAATTAGTTGTGTAAGATATTTCACATTTTTTTACTGCAAAAACTTCAAAACCTCATAACTATGTGACAATGTTAATAAAGGAATCACACATGTTGCATCCTCTGTAAAAAATTGCAAAATAATAAGATAATAAATATTCTTTGCCAAAAGTTGGCATTTGTACCGATTTCCATGGCAGTATATTAAGCTATACTATAAAGTGATAATACTAACACAAATTAAAAAAAAAGATGTTACAGTAGGCGATACATTAGACTAGTGTCAAGCTTCATGCCTTGTTTTCTGTATTTTTAAAATTTAAATAACATTTTTAAAATTGAATAAAGTAATTTTATTATTTATATTTTAAACAAATAATACATTCAAATAATTCCATGAATTATGATGTTGACGTATTAACAAAGTATACCTTGTTTACATTTGACAGACCTGTCAAATTCAAACGAAATATTAAATTATAAGAAATAAATACTTAAGGAAAGAGAGGGGCGTAATCGTATGGAATTGACCGAAGCTTAAATTGGCACCAACCGGCACCAGAAAAGTTGCTAGGTCATATTTTATTTCTTCAGTAGATTGAGAATAATGGATGTATATCAATAAACAGATTTTTTTAAATTTATAATTAAACACTGACATAATGATCACTTTTTGAACATGATTTTATCATTACATATTTTTAGTAGACCAATAAAAGGTTTCAGTAAATCAGTCAATTGAAATCAGTAGATCTACTGAAAAATCAGTAGACCTGGTAACCCTGTAAAGGTAGTATTTGGCAACGTATAGTCACAAAACATGGCAGTCACATCGAAACTGGCTTCACTTTTTTACATACATGTTAATTTTACAATTGCCAATCAAAAACCAAAAAAACATTTATTTATTACTCGTTAAAACCTATTGATCGAACACGGGAATAGTGACGATGTTAAATTATATTTATGTAGGTGTATAATAATCTACAGAACAGTGTATAATATGTATATTACATACATGTATTTAATTTTTTATATGTATACGAACAAATATAACAAATCACTCTATTGCAAATAATCTTATTTTTTAAATTTTGTATTCATATGAAATTGATATAAAATAAGAAATTTAACTGTACAGACATTTAACTCTACATACAAGTCAACGTTGTAGAGATTTGAAAATTATTTGAGTAGCTTTATGTCCTAATGCCACGAGATTAATGCAACCAGCGGATGTGGCTGCATTTAAGCCTCTAAAAACTTTATGGAACAAAGCTGTGCTTAGATATTGTAGCGTTTTTAAATAAGTTTACAGTTCGGTAATATCTTACAACAACAACTAATAGTTAGTAACAACTAATTCAACACTTATTGATCCAAATGCAAAAATTTTTTATAAACAAGTTTGTGAAATAGCTGGAAATGACAAAATTAAACAGCGATGTTGAAACAATTATAAAACTTAGGCTGATGATTACCACATATTGAAACAAATCTTTTTTTCGAAGAGCTTTCGGTAGAAATTTCTCCAAATCACAAACAAGAAAATGTTTTAGACGAAGAAGTAAAAGTTTTAAAAACAAGTGAAGTAAGTTTCGAGATAAATGATATACCTGTAATAATTTATGATACTGAAATTGTAAACATAACTGAAATCTAGAATGCAACCTTGATAGCACCCGAGAATGAAATTTTCAACATAAAAGGAATAGAAGACCATACAAGTCAAGCTGAATCAAGTGTGACGAAGATCTATTCAAAAAACCGAGAAAACCCTAGACATTTCTGAAAATATACCTGTAAATGCTATAAATAAATTTATTGCTACTTAATATGGCCAGATACTCCAGCATGAAAAGGCAAGAAGCAAACTCAAAAGTTTCCATTTGTTCTGACTTCATCAAATGGAAGAAATATTGAAAAAAGAAAAATTGGAGAAAAAATTGGAAGCCTAAAAAACAGAAAAACTCAAAAGAAAAAAAAGTTAGCTAACACTTTTAATAAGTCTGATGAGGAAAGTAGACAACTTATAGAAATTACCTCAACAAAACTAAAATAAGGTGTGAAAGTTCACTTTCCTATTGCAAAATATCAAGAAGAGTAGAAAAAACATTGAAAGTGTTAACACCTCTACACCAGAAAAGTAGAAGTAACAATACTGACCAGAAGAGAATTTAAGATTATCTCCAAAACAAGACAGATTATGCAACAGTGCATGCTCACCCGCTATTTTCATGTAATTCCTGTGCCACAGGGAAAATTAAAACGTGTTCAATTTTTCATACTATTTTGCTGCAAGTTGCTATTACAATTCATCTTTGCCAGTATAATAAAATTTGTAGTTTAGAATAAAACTGAAAATTATCACATATTATTGTGTAAGTTTATATTATTTATTGAATGTAAAAATTTGTGATTTATAATTTAATATACTTAATGCTGGACTAAAATTTCCAGGTGAAATATCTAAAATTAATTGGTACATTTCTTTTGTTGGCAACAATGAAAGTGGTATCAAAAATTGCACACAAAGAGCTCTGATGTAAATAGGCTAGGCAAGAGATATGCCGTGCAAGACAGACTTGCATAGCATGGGACTTGCAATGCGTAGATGTAAAGCTGCTTTTACCTGATCAAGAATGAACAACAACCAAAAAAAAATCTTTGAAAAAATCCTTCAGTAATTTTGGACTGTTTGAAGTTTCCAGAAAATACGCCTTTAATCCATCATAAACTCGTAGATTGATTGCACGCATGTGAACATTTCCAAATGCAAGTTTTCCCATAACACAAAACTCAAATGTGTGTCACGAACAAATAAACGATAAAAATGTGAATAAATTTTCACCATAATTAATTCCACGTTAAATTGTAACCATCCGACACCCTGATAGGGTAAAAGGAAGGGGAGAAAGAAAGTTAAATTGTAACATATTGCAGCCACATTGCAAAGTTTGTGAATAATATGAGCCGCCGATGAAATTCAATATTTTCGTCCTTATGTCTTCTAATGGAACGAAATATCTCACCACAACCGGAAACATCTTTACCTTTCCATGGTTAGATGCATCGGTAATTATACTGACGTATATTGCGTTGTTCATTGCATTAACTAATTGATTTTCGATGTACGGACCAAAGACATTTTTAATAATTGCCTCACATTTAGTACAAGCTGACTGAAATTTGGTCAGTCGAAAGCAATTCCGAAATATTTTCGATGAGCAATCAGCTGAGCGACAGTTTTAATTTGATTTAATCATATGATACGCCCAAACACCTTTTTGAGCTGCTGTGTCTAAATCAATATTGCTCGATGTTGCTGTTGCCTTGAAAAATTCAGTCAATTTTTTACTGCTTGCCACGGACTCACTACAACCTCTTTACCACTGTGGGTAGTATCTCAAATTGCGTCACTGTTACTTTTTTTTCAAAAATGGGAATTCTTCTTGCAATGTTTTATTAAGTGTTTTCTCTTTTTACTTTCTTGTTCTCGTTCCATATTAACAATAGAATGGAATGAAAAATGTAAAGTAAACTAAATGCTTCGGACCTTCGTAGGTCTAATCTATTTGAGGCTTCAAACTGATTAGTGACAAAATAAATGTTTACATAAAATCATATTGCAACGCAGCAGATTTGATCTTGGTTCAATGGTAACGGTTTGGAAATGAATCATTTATTCTTCCAGAATATAGCGCGAATGAAATCAAGAAGTTTATTTACCTACTTAAAATGGTTGACAAAACCGAAAAAAAAAAACATTTATTGGCAATCATTACATCCTTGAATGCGGCAAAGAATGCGTGGATACATGAATTGTTATCATTTTTGAATAATCTTTTCGGAAGAGGATAATTAAAATACAGATACGACAAAAAGTGCAAAGTTTGAGTTTTCCTTCAACATAATACCACGATTAACTGCTTGCGTTTTGGATGTGGTATTTGTATTACACTCTAGAAATTTTCGACTTTTTTTCGTCCCAATTCAATTTAATGTGAATTCTTAAAGAATAACGTATTTAAAATTTCAAAATAGAATTTTACCAAAAAGTAAAAATCCGGATGGCACGGAGGCCTTGTCTGAGACGCCGGAACACGACTTCGTAATTCGGGCCATGTCGCGATTTTTTGGGCTAGTTGGTTACACTAGGTATATACCAAAGAACCGTGATCACTGATACAAATCAGCAGGGACAGGGACACTCTATGATGCCGACTTTGAAGTATAAAAGAACAGAGTCGCCATTTTGGGAGAACGAACTCAGAACCCAGCGCAAAACACAGGAACGGCTTTATAATTTAGAAAATTTATACTGTTTTACAATATAATCAAAAATTAAATTTGGTCAATATAATCAAGCGAAAGAAGAACTCTTTATGTTAATAAAATATTAATTTTGTAATGAACATTGGCTTTTAGCAAATAATCTTCTATCTAAGGAAGCAAGTCATATCATATGGATGTTGAGTTATAAATAACACAGTTCTGTTAAATAAAATCTATATTTTGCAAAAAGAAATAAAAAGACAACAATACTATGCAAAAACCAAACATTTTATAATGATACAGGCGAATCAGTTTAAAATAGATCATTACAGTTGTTAGAATTAATATGTCGTGTACTTATTACAACTGAACAATTGAAGTAGAACTCGACTGAAAGAGCTTTCAGAAAAGTTTATTTGATCTTGTGCCAAACTAAATGTTTTAAGGTATTAATTACAAGCTTAAAAAGGAATAATTCCCGGGAGTTGACTGTATACCATATAGTTAAAAAAGTTGTGTTTCCGGTTAGCCATCCAATTTCATGGGCATACTGTCTAATGGGCCGGGTTTATCGACCACATGTCCTTCTCATTGGTCATTTAGGTCACGTGGTCGATAAACCTGGCAAATTAGAAAGAGCTGCAGGGGCTGCTTTGCGTTTTCTCTGTCGCACTGGGAGAACGGGCTGGTATTGCAACGATCAGTCTATCTTGTATTATATGTCTATCGATTCATATATG